GGTCTTTTCGGATGCTCAGCCCCAACCCCCCTTTAACTCATGAATCCCTGCTAAAGCATAATGACAGTAGGATCCAACTGCTATTTCGAGTCAAACTTTGCATGAATACCTGCTACTCAGTTTTACCTATATATATGATCCCAAACTTGAGTCACAAGCAAGCAATCATAAAATCTGAGAAAATAAAGAGTAAAGAAGTCACATTATGATACTTTCTGTCAAATGCGGATATAAGGAACATGGAATTTTCAGTACTAAATTTGTTTTGGAATGTCTTTATTTGGATCCTGCTTTATATTTTCTTCCATTCCATTTAAGTAAAAAGTCTTTGCAGGTAAGTCCTTCATATGAGAGTTAAATCTTTTATTAATATTGCCTGCTGAAATAAAACATAGAATAAATTAATTTTTTAAAATATTAGTTATACAGATTTACATTTTAAGATAACTACCCATTCCTCCCTTTGTTGAACTAATCATTTCTAATGCTTCTTTCATGATTTATGAATTTCCTGAAAGCCTTACATTCTGACATTGTGTGTTTATTAATTAATCAATAATATCACCTGTCGAGATAGACCAGATGACATCTGATAGTGCAGAGTACATTTGGACATTTACAACCTTTAATGCAAACTTCTCTCTGTCTCTCTATTTCTGTCTCTGTCTCTCTGTTAATATAACATAGCATAGTATTAGTGTTTCTTTAAGTAACCAAATATTTTAGTTTTAGTTACAATGGAAGTGCATATATATATATATATAATTTTATTAAAAAACTCAAACAACAAAGGAATATATAAAGTAGAAATCAAAGACCTTAATAGTGATTCTATTTACCTCCTCAGGTAATAATATCATAAACACTTTTATGTATTTACTTCCAAATAATTTTCCATTTAGTCTAAGTTTGTAAAAACATAAGATCTAGAACACACACACACACACAGTTATTTATATGTATGTGCATATATATTTATATATATCAATTACACCAAATTTTTGTTCCAGAGCAATGTAGCTTCAATAATATTCCATTTCAGCCCATCAATTTCTGTCTCATTCTTTTTATAAATAAGCAGTATTCCATAGTATTAGATATAATAATTTCTCTACTTCTTTATTATAAAAATTTAAATGAAACTTTTAATATCTTTATATTAAACTGTACTGATTTGAAAATCCTTATGTATTAATCTTACAAATGTACAGCAAACTATTAGGTGTAGAGTTGAAGGCTAAAACTGAAAAATACTGGCAAACTGCCTACAAAAGTCAATTCCAACTCATACTTCCCCAAAATGAGAAAATGGGTATTCCTTACAACTTCTAAAACATTAAATATTATTGATTTTTTTTAATTTTTGTCAATCTAAGTGAAGAATATCATTTTGATATTATTTAAGATTTGCATTTTTCTGGTTATCAGATCTTATCTGAGCGTGTTTTTTTTGCCACTTTTGAAAAAAAAAAGTGCCTCTTTTTTGTCTTTACGCATTTTCATAGTTACTTAATTTTTTCTCTTACTTGTTGCTTATAAAATTTGTCCCTTAATCATTTGATTTTGTATTTGTTGCAAATATTGTTCCCAATGTATCCTGAAGTTTGATTTTGCTTAAAATGCCATTGATTACATGAAACTTTATATTTTTATCTAAGAATTCATAAATTTTATAAAATATTTTTCTCAGTTCTATCACAACATTTTCAGTTTTGGAAAGTTTATTCAAGTTGCAAATTTCAATAATGTATTTCCTAACATAAATCTTCTTTCCATTGTGGGGATTCTGATGGCAGTTAACACTGACCGAGTGCCGCATATATGTCACACACTATTCTAAGTACTCTCCATAGGAATTAGTTTGGTGTCATTATCATCTGTGTTTTATTAACTATGCAGCAGAGGACAGAGTTTGATTCCAGGAAACATACTTTTAACCACGATGCTATAGTTATCATAATTTTCTGTTTAAATATCTGTTCTAGAAATCTAGTAGGAATTTATATGATGTTAGCCAGTCTATAAATTGTAAAACCAATCCATATTACATTGTTGTGCCAGTTTTGACAAAACATTGTCTCATTCATTCTATAATTGCACTGAAAGTTTGGTAATAATTTTGGTATCACCTCAAATATACTTGGAATATAATTTATAGAGGACAGAATATTAAACTCATGTAAATTATTTGAATGCTTCAGATATGGTAAACTAAGGGTAAGTGAAATGTGCACTTGATATTCCTTACAGTATTTATTGTAATAGAATAATGTCAATTGGATACTGGTCATATATGTGGTAGTGTACAAGTAAAATGGGATATTATACACTTGAAGAAGAAAGATGCAGCTTTTGTGTGATAGAACATTTTTATTTATTAATTAATTTTACTTTATTGTGCACTAAGAAGTTTGCAGGTGGTCATTTCTCTTCAGCGGGTGCTCCTGGCTGAGCTCCGCACAGATAGAGAGGCCTATACCTCTTCCATTGAGGCAGCATTAAATGTTTATTTATAGACTCCAGGTAATACCTAGTGTTAATTGAAATGCACAATTACATTCAGTCAAGTATATTATTATTTGTTTAAAAATAACTATACATCTTAATACATATGTGCTATTATCTGCATAGAATAACCCTGGAAAATATGTAACAAAACATTTTTTAAAAAATTAAGAAGATCACTAAAAATGAAAATAAAGATTTTACTATTTCCTCTTATTAGCCTTTCATTTCCTTTTGTAATGTTTCCACTTCAGTAACTACTTCCTCTTGTTAGAGGAACTAGTTACTTCAGTAACTATTTCCTCTTGTTAGTTTCTCTTCAGTAACTATTTCTTCTTGTTAGCCTTTCATTTCCTTTCAGTAATGTTTCGGTAAAGTTAAACACTTTCTAGTTTAAAAGTGTTTGTATGCGTGTTTATTTTAGGTAAGGAAGTTACAACTAAAATCCAAACTCGCTAGTTCTTTAATCATATATTTGCCCCAATTGTTTATAATTTTTAAAAAATCGAATCACTTTTGTGCTAAGCCACAATAATCATCAATAACCACATTTTTCCAAATAGGTATCATCCTCTATGTTATCAAGAACATTGATATCAGGGAGAATTTTTTAATATAATTAGTTGTAGAATAATAAAAACAAACAAAACAAAACAAAAATCCAATGATGATGGGCTCTTGAATCATCTTTACTAATTATATAGATCTTGCTCACTGGGGCTCCTGATCAGAGAATATGGCTAAACCTGTCTTAATCACTATCTTTTACAAACATCTAATTTTCATAGATAAAAACAATTCTTCATTATCCACTTCCAGATTTTCTTTCATTTTTACCAACACCCATTCTTCAAATTTTGATGTACATCTATTAGAGGTAGATACACACCTAGATAAAAGCAACAATATCAGATCTGCCACCAAAAGTGTTTTATCATCGTTAGTATTTGTTTGTAAAATCTCAGCACTCGTGGGGGCTGTTAAATCTTTAGGCCATTGTAGTTGTTTGTTTGTTTGCTTTGTTTTATTTGTAATCCTAGTTTACATGCTTTTTAAGAAGTAATTTCAATGTCCTGTGTCCATCGATATAGTAACAAATAGAATAGTTTCACTTTCCTATTAATAAATACTCCCTGTGCTCCACCTAGTTAGTCATCTCTACTTCCCCCATCCCTATCAGTGGCAACCACTGATCTTAGTATAGTCCTCATAGTTTTGTCTTTTTTAGTATATAATATAATTGGAATTACACAGGAGGTAGCCTTTTCAGACAGGCTTAATTTCCTTAGTAAGTACAACTAAAGTTCTTCGGCATCTTCTCATAACTTGATAGCTCATTTCTTCTTATCAGGAGTAATGTCCAGTTGTATGGATGTAGCACAGTTTATCCATTTGCCCATTAGAAGACATCTTGGTGGGTTAAAATTTTTGGTAATTATGAATATAGTTGCCATAAACATTCATGTGCAGATATTTTGTGTGGATATAAATTTTCAACTCATTTGCATATGTAGAAGCACAAATGCTGGATTATATGGTAAGACTATGTCCCGGGATAGTCAAAGTCCCCCATCCATTTCTTATTTCTTTTTCTGTACCATATTTGAAATCTGTATTAAGAGTACATCCCTTCAAATCCTTCTATTTCACTTCATCCTTTACCAAATGGCTTCCTTTTTATTCTGTCTTTTTGTTCATTTTATTGAGGTATGCAGTTTTTAGTAAGCTTTCTATTTTTTCATCACTTATGAAGAATTGCACTTTCATATTTTAGAAATCTATCAGATTACGAATCTGATAGATTTCTAAAATATGAAATGACATTTCATTAGGAGATGACATTAGGATGTGAACTTATAAATGAAAATCCATACATATGTGTTGCAATAATTTTATTATTTAAACTATTTTCTTGGAAACATGGAAAGATGTTAAAAGTCAATGATTACATTATATTCAAAATCTTTCATATAGATTAGAAGACATTTAGAACAATAAAAGATAGATATATATTTTGTTTTCCAAATTTTAAAATCAAAGCAATATTTCTTATGCAATTCAAATGTTTTAAAATATTTTACAAATCCTTTTCTAAAATTTTTTAACACTTTAAAAATATTTTAAAATATTTATATATTAGGAGAAATATAGCCACTTCATGCTATAAATTTTATTTAAGAAAATATTTTTATTTATTTCCAAACAGAAACTGTACAATAGAATTTAAAATGTGAACTACTTTTACAAAATAATTGACACAATTTTGATGAGAAAAAGAGATATAAACAATATTAAATTTCTTCTTTTTTATGAGTGAAAATATAGGGTGAGATAAATTTAAATTAAAAAAATTCTTAGTGTTCTTAGTGGTATTTTTAATTTGAACATGTTGGATTTATTTGGAGGAAGGTAGGATCAGGTGGGGCTTTAAACTGTATTCCACAATGCATTGATTTTTACAATTCACAGGTATTATTTTTTCTTTCTGTTTCTAGGAAAGATGGATCAAAAGAACCAATAGTGGAGATGAGAACAGAGGATGAAAGAATTACTAATCATGAAGATGGCAGCCCAGTAAATGAACCAAATGAAACCACACCACTAACAGAACCTGAGTATGTATATTGAGATACTTACTTATGTTTAAGTCAGTATTTTAAAAGCAATAACCCATTATCATTACTTGTAATGTGTATTCACAATATTATTATTATTTGTAAAAGAATTATGCTGTTTCATTTCCACTGAAAGCATATATGAATATTTAAATTCCATATATATTGAGAAATTTCAAATAAAACTGTTATCAATGTCAGTGAAGGTCCATTTTTAACTATGTATCTCTACTTTTATGCAAGAATATGAAAAAAAACAGAAAGAAGTATGTTACAGAGTTGGATTTTCCAACACTAATCTTACTATTAAAGAATATAATACTTTGACTTTCAAAATAAAAAAAATTGATTATTACTAAAATAAAAGTTTATTGGAACACTAGTCAGCACTTTAAGTATTCAAATGACAGTAAAATATACACAATACTATTAACAAAAAGAATATTTTCAAAGAAAAGGAAGAAATACAGTTAAACTATTATTTTAAAGTCCATGTAATAAAGGATGCTTGATCTTCGTTCGAGACTATGTTATTCATTTCTGCATCCCTTATAGCTCCTTTAAAACTATCGTAGATATCTCAAGTAAACCTGCAGAGAGGAACATGTGCCTAGCTTAATGTACATTAAAATTAAAATGATTCAAAGCAATACTATTATTAAGAAGTTGTAATAAATGTGTTCTTTTGAACGTATATAGTACTAAGAAAGGCATAGTGATCACAATCTTCTTCACTGCTTACCAAAATTAATTTTAAACTTTATTATTGTTCAAAGCAAATAGCTCTTTTTCTTTATCAGCTAGTATTCTTTTGCAGAGTAACCTGATTTAGATTTTTCACCCTAAATCAAAGACAAAGTGTTGCAATAGCTGCAGAAATGATGTTCTTTTTGAAAGCTTCTCTATATGCCTTTAAGGGGATGAAATGATTAATATTTATATAAATACAATGTACCACTCTACAGTAAAAGTTTTAATATAAATCCTGAAGCCATTTTTTAGTGATTGCATTTAGAGATTACTACATTCTAAATTGAAGTTAATTGTTTTTGAAGTGGATTTTGTAATGCAACTTTCAAAAATTAGAAATCTTTTCAATGAAGCAAAATATTACACAACAAAACACATACCTGTTTATTAATTAACTTTATAGTGTTATATTGATATGGGTGGAAACTAGTTAAGACAATGCCATTGAACTGGGCAATATTTAGGGGAACAAATATAATTTAACTACTATAGGTCTCAGTCATAGAAGTATTAACCATAAAATATAATAGAAATAACAGTAATCTTTAAAAATATTTAACATAAACATAAGTAGTGAGACATTATATATGCAGAAATACATCATCCAAGGATTACTTGAAAACAAGAGGCGGTCGGATTGCTCAAGGTCAGGAGTTCGAAACCAGCCTGAACAAGAGCGAGACCCTGTCTCTACTATAAATAGAAACAAATTAGTTGGCCAACTAAAACTACATAGAAAAAATTAGTCGGGCATGGTGGCGCATGCCTGTAGTCCCAGCTACTCGGGAGCCTGAGGCAGGAAGATCGCTTGAGCCCAGGAGTTTGAGGTTGCTGTGGGCAAGGCTGATGCCACAGCACTCTACCCCAGGCAAAAAGTGAGACTATGTCTCAAAAAACAAACAAACAAACAAACAAACAAAACCTCAATACATAGTTCTAAGAGTAAGAGATATATTAAGCATTATATTAACCTCCTACCACAGCTCTAAATTTATCTACATTTTGAAGGTAGAAATGACTCATTGTTTTTATAACTTTTATTGTCAATATTTTCAGTACTTGGGAACAGTAGAAAGAACAATGAGTGCACTATTTATAACATGTAAAGAGCCTGCTTGTGTTGGTACAATGGTTCTTTATTCAACAATGGATCTTATTAATTTTTGCCTATGATTACTTTTGACTGATTTGTTCTGATTGTTTTGATCTTCAGAATACAATGTATTACTCTTATTCAAAAATTTAAAATAAATTACAAATAAGTCTCAGAGAAACTAGCATAGTAACATTCACTCCCTCATAAAATGGTGAGGTTAAAGCCACAGTGGTGAATTAGAATACTATTTATGAGTGTTCCTATCTCTCTGCATCCACCCCAACATTTATTGTTTTGGAACTTTTTGATAAAGGCCATTCTCACTGGAGATAAGAGATATCTCATTGTAGTTTTGATTTTCATTTTTATTATGATTAGAGATGTTGAGCATTTTTTCAAATGCTGGTGGGACTGCAAACTAGTACAACCTCTGTGGAAAGTGATATGGAGATACCTTAAAGAGATACAAGTAGATCTACCATTTGATCCAGCAATCCCATTATTGAGCATCTACCAAAAGTATAAAAGACATTCTATAAAAAAGACATCTGCATTCAAATGTTTATAGCCACACAATTCACAATTGCAAAGATGTGGAAACAACCCAAGTGCCCATCAATACACGACTGGATTAATGAAATGTGGTATATGTATACCATGGAGTACTATTAAGCTCTAAGAAACAACAGTGATCTAGCACCTTTTGTATTTTCCTGGATAGAACTGGAACCCATTCTACTAAGTGAAGTATCCCAAGAATGGAAAGATAAGCACCAGCAAATTGGTTTCACTGATCAACACCTAAGTACATATATAGGAATAACATTTATTGGGCATCAGGCAGGTGGGAGGGGGTAGAAGGGATGCATGTATGCAAACATAATGAGTAGGATGCTCACCATCTGGGGGATGGACACACTTGATGCTATGACTCTGGGGCAGGAGGTGAAGGTGGCCAAGGGCAACATATGTAACCTAAACATTTGTACCCCCATAATATGCAGAAATAAAAAAAATATATTATTTATAATGAATTCTCTTGATGTGTAAAAAACATTTTGTCAAGGGAGAAAAATTTACTCCCCAAAATTACATACAAAAGACGTAATGATATACCATTGAATTTGAGAATGTTAGAAAAAACTGCAAAGCATGATTCATTGACATCATAGTAAGATTTATGAGGCTGTCTTAACATTAAGAAATAGTTGTTATTGCTCCACAGGTTCCAATTGAAAACAATTCTCAAACAATGTTCTCATAAGTTATATAAAAGTGAAAAGAACAAAATAATAGTGAAAAGAGACCAGAGAAAACATACACAGTAAATAAAAAAAATGAAAAAGTCATAAAATATATTTTATTTGTATTAAGTTCCAAAGAATATTGGTAATTTATCCAGTTTCTAATTTTATGTAACAGATTCTGGTGACAATTATTCATTAGTTTTCCTTGAAAAACTTAAGACCTAATAAATTATATAGTTGACATATGAAAATGTTTTGACTTTTTACCTTCCAAAACAATTAATTATATTTTTAATATCAGCAACAAGTTACCAAATCTAAGCACTCTATAATGAACAATTTGGTGCATCTAACTTTACAAATGTATTATTTCATTTATTATTCTACCTTACATTTTTACAATAAACAAAGTTCATTGTATATTTATCTTTTATATTATTTTATATCAATTTGAAATTAGTTTAATAAATATAGTTTTTTTTCTTTCTAATTATTGTAGCATATTTCCTGTATAAAAATACTTAAATGTTAAAGGATATCTATTAAAATACCTTAGCAAATAAGATTATTTTTTCTATTTTCTTCCAGAAAATTGCCTTTAAAAGAAGAAAATGGGAAAGAAGTTCTAAATCCAGAAACTATAGAAATTAAAGTTTCTAATGATATCATCCAATCGAAAGAAGATGACAGCAAAGCATAACGACAATATTACAACAGCTTGAACAACACTACAAAGAGCATTTGGATTGCAGTGACCCTATGACCAAAACTATTCCATTGACCTTAATTTCTTGGGAAACTTCTAGCTTGGAATAGCTTGTACACATATACATACGATCAAACACTCCTGCCCATGGTCTATTTCCTTTTGTTGTTGTCGTTGTTGTTGTTAATTTTGTTAAGAATTTCAATATAGAGACCTGACTGGCACCAACTCTTGGGTATTTAATTTGATTCTATGGCTGACGTACTGCAATTTGTTATATGGCTAAAGTGCTCTATTTCTTAAGAACTATATTTCTTAAAACCAACAAATATAGTTCAACGTCTCTAACTAATAGGGGCTTAAGAAAAAAAAAAAAAGAAAAAAAAGCTTTGTGAGCTACACATGTAAAAAAAGCCCTGCATGTTTATGGACGTATCTTGGGCAAATAGATTCCTAAAGTGGCTTTTAGCTTAAGATGAAAGCAGTTAATAAAGATTATACTTTTTATCAGAGGAATTTCAGGGAATACGGGCTTGAAGGAGCCAGTGTCTTAAGCAGATATTAAAAATTGAGAAGAACTTTGGAGAATTCTTTTCAAGTTATTATTCAGTACATTTTCAACATTGATTTTTGGTAGACAGAAGTGCCAGATCAAAATTGCTACCCATTTGAAAGAATATACATTGTGTGTAAAATTAGATTAGAAAGATTACCTAAATCTCTCTTTATATGTGTCATATTCATTCATCATGGATTACACAGAAAAATAAATGTATTGCAAGTGAAAATGATATTGATTTCTGCCCTCAGCTTCAAATAAAATAAATTGAAATGGGAACAACATCAATATGGTGTCTTGATATATTTATAAATATGTGATTATCATTTATTTTTAGAATAATTTATCAAAAAAGTCATTAATATTCCAAGACTTCAAATCATATCTTCAGACACATTTTTAGCTCATAGTTGTAGGTAATCTTTAAGAGCTAATTTTCCCATTGTTATAGTTCCATCATTACATATAATTGGCTAATGGAAATTATAAATTTAAGATTGGTTAAATTAAGAATAAATTATTTAACATTTAAATGTATCATAAAAGTGTAAATGATAAATAATTGAATTGCCACTCTGTGTTTTTTTTCTGGATGTTTTAGCTAGAAGTCATTTTAAGATTTTGATAAACAATTTTGGTTGAAGAAATTCCTCAAATATTCAAAACAAACTTTCTAATATCACTTGATAGGTAGGGCCTATACCAGAATAAAATATTTATTAACTTCCAAGCTATGCAAGCTCCCAGAGGTAAAAACTGAAACATGCTTTAACTTACATATAAAGTTTTAAAAAGTACATATGATTATAAATACAGATACCAATTGGGAGCAGGTTTTAGATTATTTCTTAACCTAGAAAGCCAAAGGTTTCTTTAGGTCTCATCACATTTAGAACCTTTGGTGTTCCAGGCATATTATAGCTCAGATATTGACTAGTTGGAGAATGGGTTCCAGTAGAACATTGGGGGAACTTTTAACAGTGAAGAGATACCTGGTTTAGGAGTTTTTCTCTGTAAAGATAATTTAATGATTATTAAATGTAATATTAATGGCACTCATGAATATTTTTATTTACAAAGTGCTTGAAATTGTCAGCCAAGAAGAGACAATTTTATACCATTTCTCATTTTTTTTCCGGCTGACTGCAAGACAGACTATAACCATCTGCATGTTAAGGCAACAAGTCACCACAGTGTCTTTGCCATACACTGCAGTGTTATAATGCAGGAATCTCTTCTTGCTATCTGTCTGGCAGATTCTGATGAAAAGAACAGAATTCCTGTGCCTACCTAGGGATTTGAGTAGTGTCTAAGCAAATAAACCGGTTAGGTCATTTTAACTAACTTGATCATCCAACTGGTCTTTGATAGTTTTGACTGTTGCTATTTTAGTTTATGTTTGTCTGATCATCTCTTTTGCTTTATTTTACTGTGTTTTCATTTGTTTTGTTTTGTATCAATGTACTAAAACTTGTCAAAATACTTGAATTAGTTTATTTGTGCAAAGTGAATAAGTGTAGTAAAGTGTCCGTGAAGCAATAGCCATGAATGCTAATTTTTCCTAGATAGGGACACATGGTTTTCAACTGAAGATGGTGAAAGAATTAGGATGACTGAGAAAATGATTCCACATGTTTACCATTGTTATATTTGTGCTTTACTTCGAGAGTGGAGAAATCATAATAAAGAAGAAAATATTTTTGTGTTTTCTCAATTTGAAATTTTGTTCTCATTTATTTAGATTTTTCATGTAAAAAATTACTTAAATATTCCATATATATATATATGCTGTTAAATTTCCTGCCACTCACATAGAGTGATGAAATTAACAGATAATGTAAAGCTAATTGTAGACAGACTGTTTGAAGTGCACTGTTTCAGTTGTCCAAATGATTCTTACTTCTTGAAATCCATGCCATGCAGGAGCAAGGCAATACTGTGATAATTTTTTTTAATATTTCAATGGAATGCTCCAAATTACGCTGTTTATAAAAAGTTTCCAAATAAGAGATGGCTTGTAGAAAATTGTAAATTATGAGTAGAATTGAATAACATGCTTCATTCTTATTCTAAACATACCCATATGACTGTGTAAATGTTATTTTTACTGTTTGAGAGTATTCTTAAGTATTAGTATAAAATTTCAAAGGGTTGACTGAATATAAGTACTGTTAAAATAATCTGAATCTTATACTATTTTAAACCAAGAGACAAAGATATCACTGAAATATTTGTATTCCTTGATAGGTTATATGAAATTAGGCAGTGACAATCTATATTCAACATAAAAGAGGAAAAAGTAATATCCAAGTTTTAATACTTATCTTATTTTCAAAAGTGGCACAAATTAATGTGTTACTGCATTTTACAATGACTTGCAAAGGAATTTAATTAATATTTTTGATTTCTAAAGATTTATTTTTTATTTTTGTGGGGTAAGACATATTGGCATTCTATTGATACTAATGTCTAACATTAATGTAATGATCCTTAATTTTTCCTTTATTTTTAATATTAATACCTATAAAAGCATTTTTGAAAGGTTATTTAGTCCAGCACACTTCTTGTAAATCTTAATCTTTGAATTAAATATTTATATAAATAGATTTCATTAATCAAATTATTTATTTGTGTGCCAACAATTACTTGTAACTTTATAATCATACCTTTATTTATTTTAAGTAATTAAAATGCATTTGTGCCTTTGAATTAGCATGACATTCTGCTTTATCAAAAGAAAAATCTATAATTACCATTATTACTGATATATTTTGCTCATATCTGTGACACTCAAACAAACTGTCTTATGTACATCCAATGAATAAGCTCAATCTAAACTATTCTATCTTGAATATAAAATCTAAATATAAAAAATTATACTGTGTAATTTATTTTCATGCATGACAAAGCAATTCTTTTTATACACACTGGAAATATTTTTAATCAGTTCTGTATTGTTTTTCTATACATTACATACATTCTAGATATTGTTGAAATTGAATTTTACCAGTTATAAGACAAAGATATCATAGAACTTTTAAAAATAGAGCAAATTACTATGGTGTCTCTTGGGTCTTTATTAATCCTCTGATACATATTTGATTTAGAATCATAAATTATCCTTTATTATTGTTGATAAGATGATCCCTCATAAAAATACTACAAAGTGGTAGAAATAATATTTTTCATTTCTTAATTTAAGAAATATTAAAATTATTTTTTAAATTTAAAATGTTTTTTTTTTCATGGAGAATAATGTAAATGTTCAATTTAAATCCCTCATGAAGTACTTTTTCATAATCATATCCAGAGTTCATGTTCAACACACACTTTATGAGTAGGTAAAATATTTTTAAAATAAGACTGTTAGCATTATTTTCCATTAGAGAGGAAATATTTGCATCTGTTTATTAACCTTCAAAGCATTATTATTATAAAATTCTCACATCTTACATATGGATGTATTGACATATGCTGAAATTCAATTGCTGCTGGCCACAGAAATAAAATACTTCAATCCTAAAGTGGAAATGTTTAAAGAAAGTATTCTCCTCATAGGCTTAATAATGTTCTGAAATAAAACAATTATACATATAAATGAGAAAGTTATAAAAGGACTGAGACATAGAGTAGTTGCTAAGCAGATAATTTTCTTTGAGGTCTCACTCAACCCCTCTTTAAAAATTACATTTACCCATGAAATACAGCCAATTAACATTATTAAAAGAATGCTAATAGATTAATTCTTTCCCCTCCTATAAAGAAAAGATTTTAAATTATATATAATGGTAAATATTTATTTGATAACACAATATTCTTAGAAAAATAGTTTATTATTCACTTTAGGATTTTACCAATAACTTAAATATATTAGTTGGTATCACTTCTTTAAATTTTTTATACAATTTTTGGAATTCTGACCACACAATATTCGTAATTGTTGCTCATGTAAATTTAAACATTACTGCCTATTTTTTTTTCTTTTCTGAAGTGAAAACACGTAACTTCTGGCATCTGCTTTTAGCCATCCATGGACAAGAGTAAGCAAAGTAGTGACTGTTGGAAATTTCAAATCACAATCAGACATAAGAGAGTAGAGAAACAAACAAATAAAAGAATCCAGAAAGGCAAACTGAACTCCTACATTTAAGATAAGTTAGTAGGACCTGACTTTGGGAAAGCACCGGATAAGGGACTAGAAACATTGCTTAGATGAAAATTAAAGCCAATCATGATGATGCAAAGAAGAAAACCTAATGAAATCCAGAGGAGAAAATTAACAGAGATAGAACCTAGGATTCAATTTTGCAAATAGGATTTTTCAGAGAACAACATGCATACTATAAAATAAAAGATACTGTTTAAAGAGCAACCTATTTGTTTAAACTCTTAAAGAAATATTTATGGTTTAGCATTTGCCTCTAAACCCTGTTAGAAATGTATGAACTTAGAAATAAAGGTTTTAAAGAACACCTTTGTTTTGGTATGTGAATTCTATGCTGTGCTCAATATGCATTAAAACATGCTATCTTTTATTTTCTTTAACTTATACATCAATTTAAATTCTATTCTTAAGTTGACTACTACAAGTTTCTCATTGTTTCAATATAATATGTCCAGATGAAATGCTGTATATATATCTAAACTGTAAAGATTATACTGCAAATGTTGAAGTTTTGTATTTATGAGAGACATGGAAAGTATGACTTACAGTATATCAAACTTGTCACACTTCACCATTTGTATATTAATAGTAAAGATACTTTTACTTTAATAAAGTGTTGCATTTATGTTTATTTTGAATAATATCTTGTGATGGGCGAGCTTATGACTTGACAAATACTTTTAGTTTTTTAAACTTTCCTAGTCATACCTCTAGATATTTTAAAGAAGAGAATGTTTTCAGTCATCTAGCCTCATAATGAGTCAATCTTTTGACTTCTCAGAGAATTTCATGAATAAATAGTTGGTTTAGAGCAGTGGTTCTCAAAATGTAACCCCCAGACCAGCAGCATCAGCATCACCTTGTAAAAACATGTAAGGAGGTGTTTTCATTTTGTTGTAAACCAGTGTAAAATATAACTCATTCTTTAAAAAAAAAAGTTAAGCCAAATGACAACTTTCCACAAAGGGGCAATTTTCAACATAAGCTTTACAAATTTCACATAGTGCTATGCCTATAAAATAAAAACAATATTAAATGCACTTTGATGGATGAACAAAAGGGCATTTATAAATCATGCTTTTTTCTTTCAGTATTCTAGATTTGTTAAAAGAAAAGGCATAATGTAATGCAAATTATACCACATGAATGAGGTCAAAACGAAGAACCTGATGTATTTTGGAAATTTTTCAGATAACCCTATTAATATTTTAGAGAATTTCTTCTAGTTTTTTCTAACCCAAACCATTACCTAAATATAAACTCTTTTTATTTTTAGTATTGGTAATGAAAATAACTCCTAAGATTCATGCCCTATATGGCTTCAGCATTTTAGATTTCTAAGTTTTTAAAATGAGTTTTTTTTTTTCTTTTTATTTCAGGATATTATGGGGGTATAAACATTTTGGTTACATGTTATGACTTTGCCTCACTCAAGCCATGAGTTTTTAATACACAAATTAGAATCTTCTCAAAATATACTTTATATATTGTGTGAAATGTGTTGTGTATGTACTTATCTTTAGCATAACTTTGCTATTCAGTAAAAATCCATACATTTGTGTATTTTCATTTTCCAGTATAACTCATCTTTCATACATAGCATTTAAAAAATTTGGGGGCAGGGGGTAGCCACTAGAATAGAATTATATCAAATTCCTCAAAATTTAATTTGCTCTGATTTTTATTAATACATCAAGTTATAAAGGCAGTTATTTCTAGTACTTACATGTCTTAGTATTGGGGGCAAAAATATTGACTTGGTGATTTAGTTCATATCAACTTTTCTACTTGCACCTCCAACTTTCACACTTCTCACTTTCCTCATCTGTCTTTTACACATCACCATCATGATTACTGTCTGAAACTGACCTGGGAAGACTGAGATATATGAGGAACAGATAATTACCCAAATCAGTCCAAAACACAAATATTATCACATCTGGAGACAAGAAATTACAAATTCTCTTTGAGCAGTCATTTTAAAATGAAGGATTCTTGAAGGAAGTTGCAAGATTTTTTTTTTTTTTTTTTTGTATTTGGAGACATTGGCTGAAGGGAAGGAAATGAGCATCTTATTTGTAAGAAAGGACCCAAACTGAATCCAGAGAAGGGGATGAGACATGTACCCAGGATTACTCAGTGTGTGTTGGGGAAGCTTTATTGCCAGGTTTGACTCCTCCACCAATAAGGGTAGTAAGGAAAGAACCCTCAGAAAAGCATCAATAAAATTTTCACTAAGTCAGAAAGCAAATGAGAAAAGAAAAAAAGATGGGAAAATATTTTGCACATCTTTGCAATGGGGACACAAAGTGTTTAGAACTGGAATCCTTGAAGCAATATTGAAAAATAGATAAGAACCCAGATATTGGGATTAGAATAAACCTATGTTCACATTCCAATTCCAGCACCTATTTATTATTCACTCTGATCTTGATAAATTTATACCAAAATTTACAACCTGGTTTTCTCATCTATAAAATAGTTGTTCTAAAGTGAATAAATTTATCTTTAAGAATTGATTTAAGGAGATATAGAGATAATGTTTATGA